AATAATCTTCTTTCTCTACTCATTCCGTTGCTTGTTCCCAAAGAGCCTTAACCACATCTGCCTTGTCATGTATCCAGTGGTGCAGATCCAGCCAATCTGTCTGCCTGTTCATTACCCACTACGCCGGTATGGCCCGGAGAAAAGATCCAAAGTATGCTCACTACCCGTGACCTTTACAGTGAAGCTAGTCACTCTGCTAGAAGCATCCCTGTCTTCACGTTTTTCAGCAAACTTTCAGAGTCTGTTGCTATTACGACATGTATATGCATCTTGTTCTGTAGCCACCGGAGAGCTGCAGTTACCGCCTCCAACTCCATTCTCATGCTAGATGTTGTGGTGTCATATGCTGGGCTGTCTTGCACAAAAGATTTTCCATTGGCTTTCGCTATGAACCTGCACACCCTGCCCAATGTTATCATACCCCTACACAGGTCAGACTTTTCTGCTGGTACTTTGACCCACTCCTCTCCTCGCCCAATGTTCTCCAGCATGCATACTTGTCTTATTGTGTCATTCGTTTGTCTTTTTATTGCTAGCTTGTTTAAGCCTTCTTTACCTCAAGTCTGTAATATTCGCTGTGTCCATCATTATTTCAGAAAATGTCATCATAAAAAGATCATTTCCAACACACTGAGTTATGTGTATACATGCATATTATCTCTTCCTTCTCCTTCTTCCTATGCTTTCGCCTTGAAAGGGTGGTTGATATGTGTGTTGTGTTTTACAGCTAGGTTGCAGTATCTGCACATTTCAGCCCAATACACCCGATTTCAGCTCACTCCTAATTAATCGCTGTCTATATTTTAAAGCCCTATCCGGCTGTTGTCAGGGCCCTATATATAACTGAATGGTTGAACAGGGTTTCTGGAACCTGCACCCCAGCAATTCTCATTCGAATGGTGGCACTTTGTGTCACTGGGTGTTTATCGCTCGTTGTGCGGCCCTGGTGAGGTTGAAGGTCACTCACTCACAATGATCCATGGGCTGGTAATCTGCAACTATGGCAGCTAAGCTATCTGCTCTTTCAATGCCAACAACACCCCTGGACAAAGAAAAAAGTAACTCCATGACACATCAAGCTAGTTAGGAAGCAGTGAGCCTGTTCTTTTTTGTAGCCAAAGTGCCAGTTCGGTTACTTCTTTCAAATATTTCTCAAATATTTCTGATCTAAACATAGCCTTCTCTGAAGAAGAAGAACTAGGGATAAGAATCTTCTTCTTCATGTTCATCAGTTGTCAACTCTGGCAGAAAGTTCTAACAGTTCGTCTATTTCTAGACTGCAGTCTTGTTCCAGAGCCTGAGTGCTGCACGCACATCCGTTTCACAGATCTGACTTGCCTGTATGCAGACTCTTGGTTCCTTGCCTCTTGGCAGATACACTCCTTCTTCTTCTTCTTCACTTCCTCTTTTACCACTGTGGGTGTCGAGGGAGATATAAGGTTCTGTTTCTAGCTCTTCTGGCTGCCTCGACCATAGGCACATCGTGCTGTTGTAGAGTTTCTCTGATGTTATCCTTCCATCTTGTTCTTGGTCTACCCCGTGCTCTATGTCCTTCTTCTCTTTCCATGTATGCTTTGTATGGTATGGTGTCACAAGGCATTCTCTCTAAGTGGGCAAACCATTTCACTTGCTGTCTTTGTATGTAATCCAGAATTGGTTCTGTGCCGACTTGTTCTCTTATGATCTCATTCCTGATCTTATCTCTTATGGTCACTCCTACAGCCCTTCTCAGACATCTCATTTCTGTGGTTACTAATTTTCTTTTATGGTTTGTTGTGAGTGACCATGTCTGGCACTGGTAGCACAGAGTTGGAATAAATATGCTTTAAATAAGATGTCTCTTTGTGCTGATTGGGATTGTCTTATGCTGTAAGAGGGGGGCTAGCTGTCCCAATACTTGGTTTGCTTTACTGCATCTAATGTTAATTTCTTTATCCAATTTCCCATCTTCAGTAAATGTAGATACACTCCAACTTCCAAAAAAGCCCCCAGTCAGTTGACTCTTATGACATTCTTTTGAGGAGGCAGTAGGTCTATTCTTGTTTTCCCCAAAATGGGACTCTGGAACCTAAATGGGGAAGGGATCGGATAAACTGAAGTTGCTGGATAGGACTGGGAAAAACATGATTTTCTAAGTACTTTTGTACGCTCACTTACAGATCAGAAGATCTTTGGTTCGCTCTCTGGAGAAGCCAAACTATTTTCAAAAATGGCCTTTGCTCCCAGGTCGACCCAGCCTTGAGTGGGTACCAGGTGTAGTCCTGGAAGGTAAAGGCAGCTGACATGATGCTGACCACATCACCCATCTTGTGCCGTTGGTCTATAAAATATAGCCCAATATGCCTAAAAGGCATGGAAAATGGTCCTTTACTTTAAGTAAAGACATGAACATTGCACATGTCTCACAACCAGTTCCTCAATAATGAAAATATGTCTGAACATCTGACAACAAAACAAAGCAGAATTGTCTTAAAACAGTGCTGTCAATTGTTTAATGCGGGGGAAAAATACAATATACAGTTTTTACTAAGTTTAAAGTCTTAGAAGAATACTTAATCTCAACTGGACAGATTTCAGATCCAATACACAAATAAGACAAGAGACCAAGCAAGACAATGTATCCAGTTTTATAAGAAAGTGCCACTGGAATTACATCAGCCGTGCTCTCAGAATGGATAAGACAAGACTTTCCAATCAAGCCCTCATATGGACACCGGAAGGGAAAAGAAAACACGGAAGACCAAGAGAGAGACTACGCAGAACCATAATGAGGGAAAGCTCAACCATGTGCCTAACAAACATCCAAGACCTAAAACAGGTGGGAACGAACCACCAGACATGAAGAGCTACAACCACTGTTCTATGCGCTGCTCGAGGCTCGGGAGGAAAGACTAACTAATTTACTAAGTGTCAATGGGTGATCATAAAAAATAATGATGTCTGGACAACCACTGGTATTCACAGTTACAAGACAATGGAAATAGTGACATACAGAGCACATCCTGTGGAGCAGCAGAGAATCACCAGACAGGTACTAGAATGGGAAACAAATGGATTGAAAATATGAGGACATCTAAAAGAAACCTTAAGACGAATGTCGATGAGAGAGGTCAAAGGTGCTATGATGGATTCCATCCCATACAACAATTTTCCATCTACCAACAGGACACTGCAGACTCAACTACCACATGCATAAAACGAAGATTGTACAGTCCCCCTGTCAGATAGGACCACAAACACCTGAGCTCATTCTGCAGACCTGCCCATTCTACCTACAACTTCGAAAAGACACTTGGTCTCAAGAGCAAAGTGTGCAGAGCAAGCTATAGGGAACCATGAAGGACCTGCTACTGACATTCGAGTTCATAGAGGCAACCCACCTGATGGTCTGATCTGAGCATGTGAAACCAAACGCAAAGAAGAAGAAGGATTCCATCATGATATTGTAACAACTGTATAGGATAGAACAAAGAATAAACTGTGAGCCTTGTGGGACACGCAGAGGTACAATAGGATGATGATGATGACAGATGATCATGATTTTACATTCGGAGATCTCCAACAAATGTACCAAAGGACCTTTGCTGGTTTTGGTTTTCGAATCCCATTATAATAGGTTAACAAGAATCTTCTCTGACTGACATCCCCTATTCATTTGCTTGTTAACCGAAGCAAGCGAACACAAACAAAAAGAAGGAAAAACAAACTTCATTTAAACAAAGAAGACACAAACAATAAATTGCACAATTTACTGCCTGGTATATTTCGCTGTATCTCGTCAGGTGCACACTACAGTAACAAGTAATTAAAATGAAGCAAATAAATAATTGCTTTGAACTTTGTTTAGTCCAGAATTATACAGACAACAGGACATGCTCTTCACCTTGCGTTCACCCTGGTGAAACAGACAGTTTTTTTAATGCAGTCGATTTTGTGTTTCAGTTTGAAGGATTCATTTATTTGCTTCATTTTAATCAATTTTTACTGTATTATGCACCTGATGAGATACTGCGAAATATGCCAGGCAATAAATTGTGCAATCTTTTGTCTGTGTCTTCTTTGTTTAGATTCACAATGGGAAAACACTGCTTTGATTTTCTGAAACCTCTTTTAGTTGGATCAATAAACATCATATAAACATTAATGACAGCAAGAGCATAATGTGACAAAAGTGTGACATCAAGTCTCATTATAAGTCCATGCTGTATGGCGCTGGCAGTCATATCTAGCCATAACTTTCTGTCTTGTAGATTTGCAATCAAGCAGCCATGTTTCATTTTAGAATTAAACTGAAAACAGTTATCAGTGATAATTTGCAAAGTTATCAGTAACAATCTACAAATATGTCAGTAACAGTCTGATCAATATCAGTGTCACCATATAAATACTTGTGACAGCCACAGTGCAGTGTGATGTAACTATCTCAACAAATAGCCATTTTTAATGTTAGAATCAAACTGCAAACAGTTATCAGTAACAATTTGCAAAGTTATCAGTAAGAGTCTGATCCAATATCGGTGTCACAATATAAATATTTGTGACAACCATAGTGCAGTTTGATGTAGCTATCCCATCAAATAGCCATGTCCATTGTTAGAAATAAACCGCAAAGTTATCAGTAACAATCTGCTAACATGTCAGTAACAGTCTGATCAATATCGGTGTCACCATATCAATATCTGTGACAGCCACAATGCAGTGTGATGTATCTATGACATCAAATTGTCATGTTCAATGTTAGAATTAAACTGCTAACAGTTATCAGTAACAATTTGCAAAGTTATCAATAACAGTCTGTAAATATATAATCAATCTTCACAAATATCAGAAACAAACCAAAACTAACTTTCAAATGCCAGGTAAAAAAAAAAATCAGCTGCAAAAAATCTTCTATGGTTTGACCTCATGTTGCCAGATAGGCAGGATCAATCACACCGATAGGCATGACAACGGAATACATGAGGACAGTCCTCCTGGTGTCCACCCGAGGACCATCTGGTTCAACTGGGTTCCTGCGTCTTATCTTCACCGGGTTTCCCTGTCTGAGTCGAGCCTTGCTTGCTTCTCTCTAGTGCCTTTCTGGGAATGTATATTTGTCTCTCGGGCCTTTCCTAGAAACAGGCAAATAGATGGGAAAACAATGAACTGAAAGGTAAATGCAAGATTGATTTTTTTTGAACATATGTGTTGCTAACTAAAGATATCTTCTTCTGCATTCAACCCTATGAAGCCACTACGTTGTGGTGTACAGCTAGCTAGCTTGCAACATCTGCAACTTATGAACCAACACAACACATTCCAGCAAAACTATTTTTAGTTGCCTCTTATGACATGCTTGATAGGGAGCGGTGGATCTGTTTTTTTTTTTTTCCCAAATCGGCCCGAGCAACTAAACAGGGAACTAAAGATATCAAATTCAACAGACTTCATCAAGTTACTTTAGTGAAAAGTTGGGGCTGAGACTGCAAGAACATGTTAAAAGGGGTGTGGCCAGATAAGAGCACTATTTTAAAAATAAAGGACCCTTTTCCATGCTTTTAGGCAAAAAGGGCATATAGGGCTAGACCTATATTCTTTAGACCAATCGGCACAAGTTTGTTGATGTGGTCAGCATCGCGCAGGCCGCCTTATCTTCCCAGGACTGCACCCAGTACCCACTCAAGGCAGGGTCGACCTGGCAGCCAGGGTCATTTTGAAAAAAGTCTGGCTCCGTCAATGAGCGTACCCACGACCTTCCGATCCGCAGACGAGCGCCTAGCCGCTCCGCCACGGCGACTCCTAAGAGCACCATGCAGGAAGCCAAAGAAGAATAAGACACCAACACAGAACTGGTGTCATGAGGCGCTACACACTGTGGGATTTACTAAGGAAAGGATCCGAGCACTTATGGACTGAATGGTCCCATGTGCAGTGAGGATTATCTGTCGACTAACTAACCAGCTAACTGTAAGGATATCCTGTGTGCGTTTTCTGATGAACTCAGTTAAGCAGCCCTAGAGGGCAACTGCTGCAGATACCACCTATGACATGGAGAGGGGAGATAGTTCTTACAACAACTATAACTGCAACTCCTTAATCTTCTTCTTTAGCATTCTGAGGTTAACTGCTGCAGATATCACCTATGACATGGAGAGAAGAGATAGTTCTTACAACAACTATAACTGCAACTCCTTAATCTTCTTCTTTAGCATTCTGAGGTTAACTGCTGCAGATATCACCTATGACATGGGGAGGGGAGATAGTTCTTATAACAACTATGATAACTGCAACTGCCTTAACTTCTTCTTTAGCGTTCTGAGGTTAACTGCTGCAGATATCACCTATGACATGGGGAGGGGAGATAGTTCTTATAACAACTATGATAACTGCAACGCCTTAACCTTCTTCTTTAGCGTTCTGAGGTTAACTGCTGCAGATATCACCTATGACATGGAGAGGGGAGATAGTTCTTATAACAACTATAACTGCAACTCCTTAATCTTCTTCTTTAGCATTCTGAGGTTAACTGCTGCAGATATCACGTATCTCCTTTCATCTGTCTATCTGGCCTTCTCTTTCCAGTGGCTGACTCAAAATTTTATCAGGTCTGCCTGTATATTACCTCTGTATATTACCTTTTGTATGACAATTACAACTGTAGTGCTAAAACTATTCTGCAACTACAATAGCCTACTAAATATATGACTAATATATTTTAAATGTAGAATACAAATACTGCAACCACAACTAGAACTGTGATTATATTTACAATAATTGCAAAATTATATATGATTATAATTACTATCAAAATCACAGGTATCATAAGTGCCAACACTACAATTTCAATTACTACAACACCAAGTGCACTAGTCGCAATTATAATTTTAAATACTAAGACACTCAAAGCTACTTAAACTACAAAAAGTGGACATGCACTCACACCTGCAAATACTTCAATAAAAATTGTAGTTACAATTCAGTTACTAAAATCACTTTATGTCGGACAAAATTTGAAGAAAATAAAACAAAACACATTTAGCCTGAATTATTTAAACATGGGTATTTTTTGTAAATCATAAGAGGAATAAATAGTTGAATGTTGTTGAATTAAGAGTCGACATCACAACACTCAGGACACTCCCATAAGTGCTCAGTCCCTATCTTCTGCAGCAAGTGAAGAGTTCCAATTCCGATGGTACCAGTAACCATCTGATTGTATATCCGTCTCATCCTTCTCCTGAGTGTTAAGTGTCGGGCAGATCCCCTGGTAACTCCTCACAGCGCCATTCTTCTTAGACTGTAGTGATCTATCTGTGCCTCTTCACTGTTCACTTGCTCCCAAAGGGCCCTCACAATATCCAGCTTGTCATACATCAGTTCACCACCAAGTGGTGCAGAGCCAGCCAGTCTATCTGCCTGCTCATTTCCAACACACTGGTATAATTTGGAGAAAATATCCAAAGGATGCTAACTACCCGGGACCTCTGAAGTGATGCTTGCCACTCTACACAAAGCATGCCCGTTTTCACCTTTCTCAACATGCTCTGTGAGTCAGTTACAATCACGGCATGTGTGTACAGCTGATTCTCAAGCCAGCAGAGACTGCCTCCACCTCCATTCTCAAACTAGACGTTGTGCTATCATATGCAAGGCTTTGCTGCACTAGGCGACGCCCATTCAGCTTTGCTATAAAACCCCATGCTCATAAGAAGAATTGGAGAGGCCAAAGGATTCCATTAAGATACTGAAATAGAATGGGAAGAGGCGGGAGCCCGAAGGCAACTTATCACAGACATCAGAAGGAGACAGTCATCACTGTTCAGCCATGTTATGAGAAGAGGGAAAATAGAACATGTTGTGACCACTGGAAAGATTTGTGGAAGGAGGAATTAGAGGAAGACAACGAGAGAAGATTCTTGACAGTCTCACTGCATGGCATGGAGGTGTGTTAACACACAAACTGATACATGCTGCAGAAGATTACAGATTGTGGAGAGGCATGATCGCCCACTCCAGTCGGCAAGGCACCTGATGATAATGATAACAGAATGGAAGGATAGACTGCAGGCTCCACATGATGTATAATAGCAAATAAATGATGATGATGAATTCTTTTTAATACTGTGATGAAAACCCGATATGAATCATCATTATCAAGTACTGAGTCCAGGGTAGGTTATCACACTTCCTGATCGCTCAATTCCACAGATGTCTGTACTTCTGATGCCTGCACTGACAGATCTATGTGTGTCTACTTTTTTAAAATGTTCCTTGATCTACACCTTCCCCTCTTACTGAGAATTTTCTACAGTGTTACTTCATGTCTTAAATCAGTGTTTCGTAAACTTTTCTTAGGCGCAGCGCCTTTTTTTTTAATTAAAATGTTTCCACGGCGCCCTAACTAAAGTAAAAGTATGACTATTCGTATGTTGGAGATTAAAAAAAAAAACGGGGCGGCGCAGAGCACAGTTTAGGAATCACTGTCTTAAAGTATAATAAACCAAGATGACATGGTGGTTGAGTTAAGCTGAGTCAAGAATTGACATTACAGCACTCGGGCATTCCCATACGGGCTCATTCCCCATTCCCAGCAGCCAGCGCAGAGTTCCAATACTAATGGTGCCGGTCATAGTCTGGTTGTGTGTCCATTTTGCCTTTCCTCTGAGCGTAGTGTGCCGGCCCAACTTTCTGGTCACACCCAGGTGCATCATTCTCTCCAGCACATAATCTAATTTTCTTTTCTGACTTCGTTACTTGTTTCCAAAGGGCTCTGACCACATCTGCCTGGTCATGTATCAATTCACCACCCAGCGGTGCAGATCCAGCCAATCTGTCTGCCTGTTCATTCTCCACCATGCTGGCAAAGCCTGGAGAAAAAATCCAAAGTATGCTCACTACCAGTGACCTTGCAAGTGGAGCTTGCCACTCTGCTCGAAGCAATTCTGTCTTCACCTTTTTCAGCATGCTTTCAAAATCCTTTACAATTAGGACACGTGTATGTATCTTGTCCTCTAGCCACAGGCAAGCTGCAGCAACTGCCTCCACCTCCATTCTCAGGCTAGAGGTTGCAGTATCATGGTGGTTTAGTGATCATGCCGGCAAAGACCGTAGTCTAGATTCAGTCTCAAATAGAGGCAAAACTATTGCCAATAAATAACTGGTCGACTTTCTTTCATTCATCCATATTCTGCTTTGTGCATTGCAGGTTAACAGATGATTGGTATCCGAACTAGGGCATGCTCGGTTGCCCGGTGTGCTGTGATGTTGTGGAGTCTCAAGGTATCAGTAACTTCTTCAATCCATCTTCTTCTTGATCATGCCCTGCTTTCATCTTGTACGCTCTCACTGCTGGCATCACTGGATTCATTCTCTTTATATGGCCAAGCCATTTCAGTTTTTGTTTTTCAGTGAATTTAATTATGGATGTTTTTTCAATAGTTTTTGCAATTTCTTTGCTTCTCACATGATCTCTACTAGTTTTGTTCACAGTCTTTCTCAAACGTCTCATTTCACTGGTGGTCAGTTTTCTTTCAAATTTTTTAGTCAGTGTCTGACACTGACAGCTCAAGGCTGGTAAAAAGAATAAATTAACAGTTTGATGCAGCCAGGTAAACATGGGTACCAGATAATTTTCTGGTAAGGTCAGGCTACAAAGAAGTGAAGTAGCCACCCACTTTGTATGTCATAACCTAGTATATATAAAAGCATAATACTTCACACCCAATGGCAGTAACTGCTTTAGGACTACCATTACTTTTCAGATTGCAACCAACCAGGAAAACCTCTTTTGTCTAAGTTAATATGTATGTATTTTTAAAAGTTTACCGTTTTAAATTTTAAAAAAAATTGAGCTCTACGTGATGTTTTATTTGTTGACTGATATTATGCACATAAAATAACAACAGTCATCCCTACCCATCGAGCAACGGAGGGCAAACTGTTCCACCCCACACTGCTGATAACTGAATACTGATTTAAGAATCGATATCACTGCAGACCGGGCACACCTATAGGTGCTCCGTCTCCTAAGGCAAATAGTGCCAGTGTGGACAGGTATTGCAGAATAATGAACACATGCTGCAGAAATGCTACCTACATTCAGTGTGGAGATCCCAGGTCAGCCAAGTTAACACAAAGCTGTATGGATCAAGGGAAGGACATACATCGCACCACAGCGTTCATAGAGATATTTGGCCTTCTTATTTTAAAACCACTGGCATGGAGCAAGAAAATGACATTTTTGCTGACCGTGTGAATGTCTTTGGATATTCACTTTCAACAAAAAAATTTTGCTTTTTAGAAAAATGTACTGGCATGCGCTTCCCAAACTTTCAAAAGGGATGAGAAGATGAGCAAACTCAAAACTAGCTTTCCTTAGTCACCTGTTATAACATGTTTCAGAGTGTTGATATTTCTGTCTTCCCTAATTAAGTTAAGTTAAGATCCCTTTTAACGCCTTTCGGCGCATCGGGCATATGGGCAGAGCGTCCCATATTTTTACAGACCATCAGCACTCGGTGGGTAATGTGGTCAGCATTACGCCGGCTGTCTTTACTTTCCCAGGACAGCCCATCCTGGTACCCATTTTAGGCTGGGTCGACCTGCGATGTCCCATACCACGACAAAAATCCACGCAGCCTGCAGTGGGTTTCGATCGCGGTATGCTGGCTTACGAGTCGAACTCGCATCGCCTTAGCCACGGACGCCGCTGTCTTCCCTAATGGCCTATGTGAAATACAAGCAACAGCACTCACGGGTCAACAGAGTAATTGTAAAACTAAAACCACACTATATATATATATATATATATATATATATATATATATATATGAATCAATTGTGACACAATGAAACACTAAGTATACCACACATATTTCATAAACTTTAAAAAACAAAATTAAAAAGAAAACAAAAATACATGCATTTGTGAAGAAAAAACGCATTATTAATAACACAGGGATCATTATGCCAGTAGTAGGGTGTGTTTTTAACATGCCTCAAACAACAACAACAGAAGCAAGAAATTAACAGAAATGACAAAATAAGAGTAATATGAATAACAGACAGCTACTCTGAATAAAGTGAGTGGGCTATTAATGGCAGCAGAGACGGCAAAGACATAAGAATGAGCATTATTAACTGCAGACTGCCTCTAGAATAGGAAACAAGAAATTAATGTGATTATTTCCCATGTGTTTTTTTTATTTGACGATTTTCTTATGTACCGTTGAGGAAAAAATGCATGAAATAACAACAATGCTACAACATGAACAAGATAGGCTTGGAGAGTGGTGCCAGCAACAGAGAGCACATGATCCCAGCAAAAAGATGGTTCTCTCTGATTACCCAAACTGTCAGTACACATATGCCAATCGTAAGCATGTTTGGTACTGATATCAATAGAACGGACATAGGAAATAATGGGCTTGACTTTTGACAGATACTTGTCAGACAAGTATCACACAGACACTGTCCTACTTAGAAGCAGGAATGGTCTGACAACACTCAAGATGTTGGCAGCAAACCGATAATAAACACCAACTTTTCCTTCTCTATCAGGTGCTTGTGTTAAGCGTCATAGACTATGGTCTGGGCTTCCTCACTGTCAGCAGACCTCAGGTAGAAAGACTTCACTGAGCCATGAGACTCCTATTCGGCTGCACAAAAGACACCAACTACCACAAAGTTGCAAGGGTCAAGGTGTATATGAGGGTACTGGCAGATCTAAACCACCCACTGCACAAAGCTGAGAACAAAGCTTCATTGTGAGCAAATCTGGGGATTAAAATGTACAAGATGTGAAAGATTTCATTTACCTATATGATGCCCAGTGCCCTAGCTAAGTAGGTTAAACCACCTGCGCAGCTACAGGGTAATGAGCTCCCTGTGGTCTGAGTTCACGCTTGGGGGTAGGGAGAAAAACCACATATTTCCCATATTTACGGTATCTATCACCAAGCAATCAAGGCCAAGTTTACAGCTGGTGAACACGAAGAAGTAGTAGTAGTACTGCATTTGCTGTGCGGTGGTAAGCAGGGGAATATAAGAAAAACATGCAGCAGAATTTACGATTTCTTGCCGCTGTAAATTGTGGGCCCTACATAAGAGGGAAGGCAGGCCAAGCGGTTATGATGCTGGACTCTCAATCTTGAGACCGTAGTCTGAATCCTTAATAAGGCGAGCACATTTTTTTTTGGGGGTCAGGGGCATAAATTAATTCTTAACCTGCTCAGTTCTTGACATTATATGAGCCACGCAGCTCTAAATCCTCAGGATAAAAATGACCCACCAGCCCCAATTGATATAAGGGCAATACAATAAACAAAACAGGTTTTTTAAAGTTTTTTTTTTTTAACCTGACCTACAGAGTACTTCAATTTACCTTTCTCCTGCGTATTTTTTCCTCTCTTTCGGTGCTGCCCCCTCTTTCTGTCTCTTCTTTTGACTGCTTGGAGGTCAACGGTGCAGATTCAGAACTGTCTGAGTGTGAGCGGGAGTTTGTCTCCATTTTACACATGGCTGCCAGCGAGTCTACATTCCTTCCACCAGAGTTTCCTTCCTCCTTACAGACAAGAGTGCCATGACAATAACAAGACAGTTAAGCCAAACAAATTCACATGCAACAACATCAATACAAAATGTCAATGAACTCTTTCAGTCTCAAAAACATGGTGTGTGACTGGTTCTTTGCTTTGTGTCTTAAACATTGTATAATGTGTTCTTATACTTTAAAAATAAAATATTTAGGGGGCCTCCATAGCAAAGTAGTCAAGCCATGTACATTATGCTCGGAAGGTTCTGAGTTCATTTTATGAACATGTCAATAAATTCACTAGTGCTGTTTTTACTGAGATACCTAAGGATCATCGCTGGAGCTACGAAGTTCATGTTTTGTTTGAACCTCTTTGCAGACAGTTAGCCATTCTGCAGAATGAATGAATGAAGGAACAAACTTTATTTTCAAAGGGTTACTGGGATAAAACTCGGTGCAATGAAGCTGGTCCTCTCGACTTTAACTTTCTATATTTAGTACTAAATAAAGCTGCTTTCTGTAGTAGCCATTACCACACCCAACTAGTCTCCTTGAAAAGCACATACCAGTGACCAGGCATGCAGGTAACAGTACAATCACCGCTTAAACTTTCCAATGCCAAAGAAAAATACATTACTATATTATTTATTTATTATCATCATACTTTTTATGCTGTTAAACATCCCATAGGGTTTACATTGGATTCCTTAACTCCACTCTACTGCAAGCAACTCTGACATGGAGTTCAGCCTAGCATTTTTACCTTCTTGTAGTAATGTTCTTCTCAATGTTTCCCTAGGACGTCCTCCTTTTGTGTGTTTATTTCTTATTTTATTGCTTGTTTTGTAATTCTTTGCTTGTTTTGTCTCAGAGTGTGCCCAAAATGTCTACACCTTCTTTGTCTTACTGCAGTCGATACAAATATATGTCCAGACATTTCTCTGATCTTCTCACTTTAAAAAAAAAAATTCATCCTATTTTTTTTTTAAAATGATTTTTCTCAGATATTTATTTTCAAACACTTTAACTTTTGTTCCATATCTCTGGTAGTTCTCTAACTTTCACTGGCATATGTTAGAATTAAAATAACATTAGAATTTAAGATTTGTAGTTTGTTCTTAAAGCTGTCAAACTTGGAGCTCCATATTTTGTTAAGGCTTTAAGAGACTTGTTGCGTTTTTATTATTACTGTTGACTATTTATTACAAATATGCCATTTGGTTTACGTCTCGAACACAGTGAAAAAAATGATCACTGTATGCTTATGCCTTTCATGTAGAAACTGTAATGAGAGAGGGCTACAAGTTACTAGTACTTTGATGCTAGCTGTGCACATATACTCTCCAACAGTGAAATGACAAGGAGGAAAATATCAGCTGTTGCTCTCTCCAGTGTAAATACTACCTACTAACAGTCAAATAAATGAACTGATCCTGCCTTGCCACTGGCACACACAGTAATAATCCCTGAGAGGTAATTTTCCTCCTTTGGAAAATGTTGATATACTTTCTGAGATCAAAAGAGTTAACCTTTCCAGCACTACAAGATATGCATCTGAGAACTCCTCTGGTAAACTTCCATTATTTTAACCAATTCAATCCCAAATGTTACCTGTAATCCTTTTGTCTCACAAATTATTATATCAACTTTTAGACAGTAAACACTACCTACTAACAATCAAATAAATGAACTGATCCTGCCTTGCCACTGGCACACACAGTAATAAAGAGAGGCAATTTTCCTCTTTTGGAAAATGTTGCTACTCTTTCTGAGATCAGAAAAGTGAACCTTTCCAGCCCTAAAAGATATGCATCCTCCCTCAAACTTCCATTATTTTAACCAATTCAATCCCAAATGTTACATGTAATCCTTTTGTCTCACAACTTATCATATAAACTTTTAGACAATAAGATTGTTAATCTAAAGAACGCATCCTGCTGGGTAAAATGTAATGTAATGTAACTATTGCTTGAGAGTGAAAGAGTTCGGGGAAAAAACTAAATATGGATGATCAAATCAAAATATGGGTGAAACATCAGTGAGACATCCACTGCCCTTAACAAGCATGTCATACAAGACAACAAATCAGAAGTTTGCCGAAACCAGATGGGCTGGTCTAGTTGTAAACAACAATGTATCTTCCTTAATGAGACTTATCTATCCCTCCCCCCCCCCCCCCACACCCCCAAAGAGAACACATGAATAATAGGATATTTCAAGGTATTAGCAAGATTAGACCCAGTGCCCTTAACAAGCATGTCATATAAGACAACGAATCAGAAGTTTGCTGAAACCAGATGGGCTGGTCTAGTAGTAAACAACAATGTATCTTTATGAGACTTATACCCCCCCCCCCCCCCCCCCACTTTTTCCCCCAAAAAGAAAACATGAATAAAAGGATATTTCAAAATCACTACAAAACATAGCCACACTGATCACATCCATGCATATGAAACCATACATATACCATGACAACAATATTAACTCTACCAGACCACTGTACTGCTTTTCGCAGAATTTCCTAATCTGCTGCTCAACCGCTGTACCTAATTTTTCTGTACTACGTGAAAAAATGTGTCACAAACTAAAAATAACCAACCAGTCATGATCAAACATCATTGTTAGTCATTACAAATGGCAGCCTCCATGTGTTTGCATTTACTTTGTGTGGTTAAAAATGAAAACAATTTCTGAAAATTCAACTATAAACGAGTGGCTGATGAACCAAGCAGTATGACAGGAAAGCGAACTAGATCTAGGCTTTTCACAGTCCAACAGATGATCGATACTTTGGTTGATTCAGACTCTGAGAAGTCAGAATTTCATCAAAAATATAATCCCAGTTCAAGTGACACAGACAGTGAGAGCTCGAGCAATGAGGAGAAACTTGAACCTTACAAATCTAGAACTAGATCAATAGTAAGAGAGGGGGGGGGGGGGGGGGCGTGTCCCTCAAACAGCAACATCTGGTGCTCACTTTGTGAAACAAGGCAGATCTTGCTGGGTGGATTGGCACACAGATGGAATATTGGTGTTAGATAAAAAGTAAACCTATTTTCTACAATGTCTCCAAGTTTCATCTTATTCTAACCACTTGTTTGCATGTAACTAATATTTTTGTATATCATGTTGGTTTATTTGTGTTAATGCACAGGAGCTCAGGTAGAGAGGACAGTTAGGTTCAGGGCCTCAGGTCTGGTAAGGTTAAAAACACAGACTAAAAGCACACTGCAACTAGACTAGCACAACATTCAATCAAGTAGCTAACTAAAAAGCATGTGAAAATTTCCATATAATTCTCCACTCCCCTCAGCTTCTATGCATGTTTCTTCTTTCAATTTAAAAGAATAATGTGAACTGACTACAAAGAAGCAAGTAGTGTCATCTCACAAGTTAATTGATTATAAAGTTAGTTTATATATCCTTTACATAACTTTTCAACCCAATCCCGGCATACCGTGTGATTATTCTAGACAATTTGATGTTCAGCAGTCCAGCATTGCTTTCGGAAGAGTACAAGGCTTATATCGTTATCCAAATCAATGCGTCTTGCAGCTGATTTCTAACCCTGGTATGTCAGGATTCTAAAACTGCACTCACAATAAAACTGCTACAAGTTAGCCACCACACATGCCTACACACATGTTTATGCAAACATCAAATCTATAGCACCGGCCCAGCTGAGGTTGAGGTATCTGATCAGACAGTCAACAACAACTGGTGGTCCGACAATATGCACTGCCATGGGACTAGGATGATGCCACACATGCCCGGAAACATGTGTCCTGATTGCAGGCCTCTTTCTGTTTTCTTTACAAGCAAGACCGCAATGATTTTAAAGAAGCAACAAATGCAAAACAGAAAGGGGTTATAAAACAGGTTAAAACCAATTTTCCTGTGGTGATGAAATTAACTTTGAGTTTTGCCATGTTTAACACAGAAAAAAAAAAGATAGAACCTCATCTGGCAGACAATATCAGTGCTCACCTTCTGTCTGTCCTTATCTTCTCTACTGGCATCAGTTACGCTGAAATACAATAAATATGGCCTCCGTTACATTTTTCATTATTTGTCAACCTTGTCACATAGTGAACATATATTTAGAAAACCTCATAACACTAATAGACCTAGAAAGGACTTTCTCTGGAACTCCTCGCTGCATCACTCTCACCAGACTGTGATGATTAATAATGCATCAATATTCCACCAAGTTGTGAAGCAGCCAGCGCAGAGTCCCAACAGAGGAAAAGGAAAACAGAAAAGAAGACTGTCACACAATCACCAAGTAAAACAAATTAAGAATTAAAACTGCATAGTAAGATGGTAAGAAGTTTAAGAATCAGCAGCACAACTTTTTAGTAAAAATCTGAATCATTTTTTTTACAGCAAAACTGCACAGTAAACAGAAGTTAAGAAGTTTTTTTTTTTTTTTAGTATCCAGAAGCAATGAGTTGTTAACCCTTAGGCTAGGTAATATGGATATTGCAACCTTTCAGCCTTGATTCCATTGTAAATACCGTAAATCTGGGAGACATGTGGCTTTTCTGCCTACCCCCGGAAGGGACCCGGACCACAAGGAGTTCGTCACCTGCTCACAGCGTAATCCGGTTTAGCCAACTACGCTAGAGAGCCGGGCGTTAAGAAGTTTAAGAATGAGCAGCAGAAATTCTTAGTGAATATTTATTTTTTTCACAGCAAAACTGCAAAAACTGTTTTTTGTTTCTAAACATGTGATCCAAGAACCACAGATCAATGATTTAAAGTGTAAAGTAAGGAAGCACCCTTAAAATGCCAGTGGCACATTTAGCATATGGTGTTAGGCCAATATTTTCATAGACCAATAAGCGCTGATTTTTTAAAACAATCTTACAACAAATCTCTGGACTGTCTTGGCTGGCTAATGCACTAACTATTATGCAACACAACTGCCCTAGAGCAAGAGGCAGACCCAGAGTACGATGGATAGACAATATATCAGAGATACTGAGGCAACACGGACTTAAAACAACACGTGCAACACACCTGGCCCAGGATAGAAAACTGCGACTCCCCACTACGCTGTGAGGCAATTGTGGACAAGACAAGACAAGACTGATTTGTGCAGTAAAGGTCCCTTTTTCACACCTTTAGGTGTATAGGGCACACAGGGCTAGACCTATATTTTTATAGACCAATCCTCACAAGATGGGTGATGTGGTCAGCATCGCGCCGGCCGCCTTTACTTCACGGGACTGCACCTGGTACCCACTCAAGGCTGGGTCGACCTGGGAGTCAAGGTTATTTTTGAAAAAAGTCTGGCTCTGCCAGGGAGCGAACCTACGACTTTCCGATCGGCACGTGAGCATCTATCCGCTACGCCACAGCGACTCCCACTGTGATTTGTGCAGAATACATATAACATTTTTGCCCAGAAATCTTTGGGAGATAAAAGTTAAAGTCGAGAGGATCAACATCATTGCACCGGGTTTGATCCTATTTGGCTCAGTTTCTCTCCGCAGAACGGTTGGCCGCCTAGCAAGAGTGCCGCTCAGAGCACGAACTCCGTAGCTCTGGCAATGATCCCCAGGGATCTCCGTAAAAATTGTTAAACAAAACTGAACCCACAACCTTCAGAGCGCGAAACAAATGGCATGACCACTTTGCCACAAAGACCTCTTTTGAGTGAAAAAAGCTTTGGTCCTGGGAAGTCCAGGAAAAAACTTTGAAAAAACAATCTTTTTACACAGGTCACAAAAAATTTTTTTAACAATTTATTGGTTAATTTTTGTTACATAAAAAAAATTAAATGAAGAAAAGGAATAAATAAATATAAAGGAAGAAGAACATTAAATATACTTCCCTCCCCAAGGCCGAAAAATAAATATACGGTGACTCAGACTTGACCCCAAGACTTCGTCCCTGTGGGACTACTAAAGTCAAGGTCAATTATGATGTCATAATGATTTTAAAAAGCCATTTTTACATATAGATACCCCCCACCCCTCATGTGACTTTTAGTAAACATAATCTTATCCGGGGCCTCCCAAACTCTGCACAAACACAAACAGAACCATCTGCCTTTAATGAGGCTGCAAATCACATTACCTGTGCAGGTTAAGCAGCATTTGCTGGGACCAAGAAAATGAAAAAATCTGCAGAATTAGAGGCTTTCTGGAGTGACAGGGTTAAGCAAATTATCAGACATAAGTAGAAAGTAAAGATGAAATAAGTAAAGAAGAAATAAGAGTTAAGAATGCAAGGTGTCTAGACTGAATTTACACCTAGAAAATTTGACATGTACAAAAACACATTTCAACTGACCATACACACAGTATCCTACCTGGCAACAGAATCTTCTCGATCCTTCTTTCCATCTTCTTTTCCTTTAACTCTTCCAATATCTAAACGTCTGTCTTGTACTCGTTCTTTGTCCAGTTTCTTTTTATCCAACTCTGCCTCTTTCTTTCTCCATCCATCATTTCCTCCACTTTTTCTATCAGCCCCTCCTCCATCATATTTATCCCTCACAGTCCCAATCCCACCACCATTTCTATCACCCCTTGGCCTCATTGTTCCTCCCCTGTCTCTCCCTGAATACCTGTCACCTCCACCTCTATCTTCACCATATCTGCTTCTTCTCATCGTGTCCTCCTCCCTGTATCCCCTGCCTCCTTTGTCTCTCGACAGCTTATCCCGATACCTGTCGTCTTCGTAGCCTCGTCCTCTCTCTTTCCCCCCATACTGCTGGCTTCTATCATCATCTCTTCCGGAAGATTCTCCCCACTTTCCTTCTCTGATTCCTCGCCTGTCATCTTTCTTACGTTCATTTCCTCCCTTGCCTTGTTCACTATCTGATAAGCTATCCTGGGTGACGCCTCTCTCTCCGACCTCTTCTCTTTTTTCCCAATCTCCCCCTGGAACATTTCCAGAAACATTTTTCTCAGAGGGAGTACCATCTCTTTCTGTGTTTCTCAATAACTGAAGAAAAAATATTAATAAAAGGTATTTTATGTAAACTTTATCAGAAAGTTAATATATTTTATGTAAACTTTATCAGAAAGTTAATATATATAACAATTCTTAAAACTTATGCAGTAAATCTTTTACAGAAACTTCTATATCGTTACTATAAATCTTTTACACAGCTCTGCTGTCTTTAATCTAAATCTTTTATAGCAAAAATGCACCATCATAAAGCTTTGTTCTTCTCGGTAAACTAAAACTGTTTGGTCTGTATCTAAAAAACACATGACAATATTCATGTCTTTACTGTAACTCTGGGAGCTTGATGCCTGCCTGAAGATCTTGAGCTCAAATAGGCATGGGTCAGAAGAAAAGGTGACCAAGAAGAAAAGAAACACAGACATCCTAAAAATCTGAATATCAAGGAAGATTGGCTAGTAAACAGCATCTTGTCTCAGACATTGAAACATGTTGGCCACATTCAGCACCACTTAAATTGGAAAGAATAACAGCAGAAGGCATGGTACCAGGAAAGAGAGGCAGAGGCTGACCAGCATGAAGATGGGCACAGGATATAAGAGACTCCATGAGTAGGAAAGTGCATGAAGCAGGACAGCTGGCAAAAGACTGCGTTTTTTGGGGGGGCAGACCATGATTAGAGAAATTTTCTGCAAAGGACCTGCTACATGACAGCCAGCAGGTTTTGAGTTCAAAAAGGCACTAGGTCGGATTTGTATATGTGCACTAGGAATCCAGGCTGACCCAGCTTAAAACAGGTACCAGGAAATTTCCTGGGAAGTAAAGATGGATGAAACATTATGTTGACTACGTAACTCATTAAGAGATGATTGACATAAAAAATATGGGCCTAGAAACATGTGGTAAATAACTTACTTCACAATCTAGTATAATGCTCACTAGTCAGGTAAATGAAATGCTCACTAACCAGTCAGATGTTTACTAACTAGTCAGATATTTGTTTTTTACAATAATCTTCACTAACCAATCTGACGTTCAGTAACCCATCATATGATGTTCACTAACGAGTCATGATGTTCACTAACCAATCAAATGTGAATTATCAGTCAGATTGGCTGTTGATCAATGCAAAAATTGTGAAATAACAATGGTACTTGGAAATTTCAACGCGAAAGTAGGAAGTGAAAAAGTGTACGGAATAACGGGTGGCTATGGCATAGGAGAAAAGAATGTGAGAGGTGACAGATTAATAGCATGGGCTGAGTCGCGCAGCATGATAATAGGTAACACCTGGTTTAAACACCATCCTCGAAGTTTGTGGACTTGGAAAAGTCCTGGTGATAATGTCCGCAATCAGATTGATTATATTTTGATTTCAAGAAGATTCCAGAGCAGCTTAGTTGAAGCAAAAACTAGACCAGGGGCAGACTGCTTTAGTGACCATGTTCCAGTTGTAGGAAAAATTAGAATAAAACTAAAGAACATTAGAAAAACACCACAGAACATCAAGTTAAATTTAGGAATTCTTAGAACGGATAAAGAAATTAAGGAACAGTACAATGTCACTGTACAAAACCGGTATAATGCAATGGAAATTATACAGACGATTGATGAACAGTGGGATATGTTGCGTGAATCAATTCAGCAGACATCAAAAGAGACAATCCCACCAACCCATAGAGTTGCAAAAAAGAAATGGATGTCAACAGAAATTCTGCATTTGATGGATGAAAGAAGGAAGAAAAAGAATGATAAAAAAGAATACTCTAGAATACAAAAAGAAATAGTGAACAAATGCAAAGTGGCTAAAGAAGCCTGGCTGAATCAAATGTGTACAGAGATTAGGGAAAACAACAGGAAAGACTCACATTCCATGTACCAACAGATAAATATGTTAACAGAAAAGATGACACGTAACAGCACTGGATGTTTGAAATCAAAAGATAGTGACTTATTAATGGGACATAGTAATATAATTAACAGATGGACAGAGTATATAGGGGAATTGTATGATGATAATAGACCAGACGCAGAACTGCAGACCAACAATGATGGTCCACCAATAATGACTGCAGAAGTTGAGGATGCAATACATCATATGAAGAAAGGAAAAGCACCCGGGCCAGACAACATCTCACTGGAAGAAATCAAAGCACTGGGAAATTTTGGAATTGAAATAATAACTAAACTTTTAAATGATATTTATAATAGTGGGTATATTCCAAATGACCTTTTAAAATCCATATTTATAGCTCTGCCAAAGAAACAAGGCACTTTAAAATGTGAAGACCATCGCACAATAAGTCTTATGAGTCACTTGGCTAAGATTTTACTGAGAATAATTATGAGAAGAATAAGAAACAAAATTAAACCAGAAATCAGCGATGAACAATGTGGATTTGTAGAAGGAAAAGGTACAAACAATGCCATATACATCCTAAGGACATTGTCAGAGCTATATAAGTAAAGACTGATTTGTACTTATGCTTCATAGACTATACAAAAGCATTTGACTGTGTGAAGCATAAAGAAGTAATCAAACTGTTAGAAAATTAAACATTGATGGGAAAGATCTACGAATAATAAAGAATATGTATTGGCCGCAAACAGCAGCTATAAAAATAAACAACTGTTTAGGTACATTTCAAAGCATAAAGAGGGGCGTACGACAAGGATGTGTACTTTCACCTGATTTGTTTTCAATATACAGTGAATATATAATGAGATCTTTAATTGATATGCCCGGAATTGTGGTTGGTGGGCACAATATAAACAATTTACGTTATGCTAATGACACAGTCTTGATAGCAACAAGTCAGAAAGAATTACAGGAAATTATAGACATTGTGGTATTAGAAAGTGGAAGAATGGGCCTCACTTTCAATAATGGGAAGACAGAAGTAATGGTGGTTTCAAAGAAACAAATTATTCCTAAATGTGTAATAAAAGTCAATAGTGTCATTTTAAGACAAGTACAGAAATTTAAGTATCTGGGCACATGGATAACATCAGATGGAAAATGCATAACTGAAATAAGAAACAGAATTGGACAGGCAAAAACTGCATTTTATAAAATGAAAAACATTTTGTGCAATATATCCTTGTCATTGAGAGTTAGAAAAAGAATTCTTGCTTGCTACATACATCCAGTTTTAACATATGGATGTGAATCCTGGATAATCGGTAGGCAGGCCAAACAATTTTTAGAGGCCTCAGAGATGTGGTTTTACAGAAGAATGCTTAGAATACCCTGGACAGCCAAAAAGAGCAACCAAGAGGTTTTGAAAGAGGCGGGAGCCCAAAGACAACTTATCACAGACATCAGAAGGAGACAGTCATCATTTTTCGGCCATGTTATGAGAAGAGGGAAAATAGAACATGTGACCACTGGAAAGATCTGTGGAAGGAGGGATAAAGGAAGACAACGAGAGAAGATGCTTGACAGTCTTGTTGCATGGCATGGAGCTGTGTCGGCACACGAACTAATACATGCTGCAGGAGATCGCAGATTATGGAAAGGCATGATCCCCCATGCGAGTCGGCAAGGCACCTGATGATGATGATCAGTCAGATGTTCACTAACCATGTTCACTTGCCTGAGAGGTGAGGAAACAACAGTCTGCACAGAAATAAGCCAGAGCTGTAGAATGGATGTGCATGCAAAACTCAACTCCTGGAACAAGACCAAAGTCTAAAAATGGTTAAACAGCCAGGATTTTCCAGCCGTGAGTGTGAAGAAGGAAAGAGCAGGACTTGTTATTTGAGAATTCTCCTGAGGGTGATGCAGCTGTTTATCAGATGAAACTGTCTTTTGAAAAACTTTCAAAGTGCAGGGAGAACAATGAAGGAAGACTGGAGCTTTTGTCTTGGCTATGAGAAGTGTGACCATGGAGGTCATGGTAATAGCTAAAGAGTGTTTTTCAACCTGGGAAGCGAGGCGGGGAAGCAAGGAAGTTTCAAAGAAGGCAAGCAATTTTGGAACTGAGTGCATTTGTACTTTTTGAAATAATATTTGAGGGGAGGGATTCTTTTTGCCATATACTTGAAGGAAAAGGGGGGGGGGTTCTTCTTGCCATATACTTAAAGGGGGTGGGGGGGGGGGGGACACCTAAAAAAAGGTGAAAACCTCTAGGCTGAAGGAATAGCTTTGATGGAACCCCATTCTGACATGCTTTCTCAGTGACTCAATGAATATGCTCAGGGTGGCCAGGCTAGGATAGGATGGGCCTCTTTGGTTAGACATTGGTCAGAGTCTCTGAGTAGGTCACAGCTGACAAACAGCAGTTTCATTTCCATACCAGGGCATGTAGGTGTAAAGGAAAAGGAATGAGGCTGAAAGGATTGCAGGCAGGGCCACTGTGATGAGCAGATAAGCAACAGACTCGGCTGACATACTGATTACTATTTGAAAAATATAACGTTTGCACAAAACAAGTGATGACTGTCAATGTGCAAATATGACCAGACAGCAAACACAGCAAGTCAAAAGCAGAGTGAGACCAGGCAACAGCACTATGATGGAAGCCAAAGAAGAATAATGAAGCAGCGTTTAACTTGTATCGTCAGCTGCTACAGACTGCGGGATATACAAAAGGGGTTCGAGCAATTACCAGCTGAGCAGTTCAATGTGCAGTGAGGAATTATCCTGTCAACTAGCTAATCAATTGTTCGCTGCCTGGACAAATGTTCACTTACCATTACCGTGTGCCTCGGTGCGACCTCCGTGTCTTTCTGCCATCTTTTCTCTGCAGGTTTGGCCTCCTTAACTTTATCTGGTCTCAATGAATCTCTGTCTCTCCTTCTGTCCCTCTCCCGATTCCTCACTCTATCTCTGCGCCGGTCTCTATCCCTGATTCCATCTTTAAGTGATCGACTTTCGTTTGTCTAAATCCTCTTTCCCTGGTCTTTTTCTATCCAAGTCTCTGTCTCGACCATTTCCTCCCCCTCTTCGCCTCTCCTCCTTGAGTTTCTGGGGAAAAATTACAGTTACAATTAGTTTAATTTATTACAGGCAGACAGTATTGCAATAAAGATGACGTGAGGGGAAATTAACTGAGAAACATAACTGGTCACCTACATCATCATTATCATGTGCCCGCGCCAACTGGCGTAGGCGCTCCTGCGTCTCCAGAGATCATGATCCCTGGTTGCCTGGAGCAGCTCTCTCGATGACCTCCCTCCATGCCATCACTTCAGCCCATCAAGCATTGTCTCTCTTGGTCTGCCTCTAACCTTTTTTCCACATTTGTTCACCCACATCAAATGAAGACAATCTACATTTTGGGATATGTCACCAGAAGGGGAAAATTGTTGGTTCCTTGACTCTCAGGCAGATGCACCCCAACTCTGAAGGAAACACCCCTAATTAGCCTAATTAGCGGCCTCCTATGACATGCTTATTGAGGGAGAAGTGAGTGTATTTTTTGTTCTCTCAAATGGAGCCCCAGAACCCAGGAATGTATTTAATACAGACAGCATTGCTATAAAGATGGTGTGAGAGGAAATTAACTCAGAAAGAAAAATGGTCACGCACATCAAATAAACATAATCCACATTCTGGGATATGTCATGCGAAGGGGAAAACTCGAGTATGTCGTGACAAAGGAAAAGTTGGAGGGGAGTAGAGATAGGGGAAGACCAAGAAAGAGGTCTGCCATCATGGTGTGGTAGGACATCTAGCTGCCTGCTGAGAGTGCCACACAAAGCACGAATCCTATAGCACCTGTGACGATCCTCAGTTATCTGTAAAAACTGCTGTCTTTCTTGAACTACTTCTTCAGCATTCCGAGCCCTTGAGGTTCATTGCTGCAGATATCCCCCACCTCCATTCATCTCTCAGGTTAGCCTTCTCTTTCTAGTTGGTGACACAAAGTGTTTTTCGGTCTGTCTGGACATTATCTCTCCATCATCTTCTTGGTCAGCCTCGTGTTCTATGACCATTTATCTCCCTTGTGTATAGTTTTAACTTCTCTGTCATCTGACATTCTTTCAATATGTCCCAACCATTTAAGTCTATTAGCTTTCGTGATACTAGTCATCAGTGGTGATTTAAGTTGCTTTTCACTCTCCATTCACCGCTGTTTGCTCTTTGATGGGTACAAAGATTCATTGTAAGACTCTATTTTCGAAAACCTGTAGTAAGGCTTTTTTCTCTTTTAGTTGTGCTCCAAGTTTCAGATCGATATAAAATGACTGGTCTCATCAACGTTTTATATATTATGATCTAGGTGTTGGGAGACAAGACACTCTGACTTTAGCAGATGGTGAAGGGCATAGTTTACTTTATTTCCAGATAGTATTCTAGATTATATTTCTTCTCTCAGCATGTTGGAGCAGTTGAAGTTTGCACCCAAGTACTTATATGTTTCCGCTCGTTTGATTTTCATATTATCAACTTGTATGTGGTCGGAATTTATATTCATTTTCCTGTCTAGTTATTATCATGTATTCTGTCTTATCTTGACTGATAACTAGTCCCATTTTCTGAGCTGATTCTTTTAAGAGAGTCAGTGTTTTATCAGTCTCAAGTTCATTTTCTTCAATGAAATCTCCAATATCATCAGCATATCCAAGTATTCTTGTAGTTTCTCCTATAGTACACTCTTGTGTTAATTTCCTTATAATTCTCTCCAGTGCCAAGTTGAAAAGAAGTACCCAGTGGTCTATAAAATATAGGTTTAGCCCCATATGCCCAATATGCCTGAAAACAGAATCCTTCACTTTACTCAATCAATAGAAAAACAATGGATGAATGAAGAAGACAGAATCAATGAATTAAGTTATACTTACAGCAATATTCAACTTTCGTTCTTCCCTCCTCTTCCTCAGGTAATCCAACAGAGGTGTGGTCACTCTGGTAGACCCTAACTTTGCTAGACAAGTCAAGAAAGAGAAGGCAAAGATGAGTTTTGAAAGTGAAGAAGGATATGTGTGGTAATAATAAGAACATTTTGAACAAATGAAGCAGTAGTAGCTTAATAAGGCAAGGTGGTACCCAGTTTGTGGGAAATGACCTGTCATCCCCCTCCCCTACCACCACTATACACACACCCATCCCCCCACATATATATTTTTAATTAAAAACATTTCTTTTTGTCATTTTGTCCCCCCCCCCCCCCCAGCACTGTCACCAGGGGCGGCTTGCACCCTCTTCCTACACCACTAGGTACAAGTCTGCCCCAGGACAATATATGTGCATATTAAAGCTGGTTGAGTGTCCTTTACAGGACGTTGCAGAACCAACTCCACCAGCATATTTTGGCATTCTGTGATTTTACTAGGCAATTTTAAAGTTTAGTAGTTTGGCACTGCTTACTGAGCAGCACTGTCGAAAACAACGCAAGGCAGTTTGCTGCCACATTATCTGCAGTTGGAATCAAACTGGGCACCTCAAAAATTATCAAATGCATTCACAACGCCTAAGCCACAGACACTGACACTCATTACGCATGTGAACACATCAAAACAAAACGAGAAGTAGAACTAGTAGCCCCCCAGTAAAACACAATAATGACAGTCAAAATGAACGGTGCATCCAGAAAGATTTCATCACCTAAACTAACATGGATATAAAAGACTACATCCCAGTGTGTGTGTGTGGGTTCCAGGGCCCCACTGTGGGAAGAGCAAGAATAGATCCACTGCCTGCCCAACAAGTGTGTCGTAGGAGTCGACTTACAAGACATCTGTTTAATCCACAGAGAAATGGCGGGATCAGTCATTTTACTCTTGTGGAGCAGTTGAGGAAGAGATTGGGGCACCTGCGGATATGTCTGGAGTGCTGTGATGAGTTCTCACTAATCCCTAATCAGAACACTCTGGGACAGAAACAGTCAAAATAAATAATTGACGGGGAGTCACCGTGGTGTAGCAGTTAGACGTTCACCTCCGGATCAAACAATCATGGGTTCAGTTTCTGGCGCAGCCGGACTTTTTTTTTTTTTTTTTAATGACCTTGGCTCTCAGGTTGATGCTGACCAATTCACCCAACAAGTGCCACTTGCTCTATAAATATAGCCCTATATGCCCAATGTGGTATGGGACGTCGCAGGTCGACCCAGCCTCAAATGGGTACCAGGATGGGCTGTCCTGGGAAGGTAAAGACGGCCGGCGTAATGCTGACCACATTACCCATTAAGTGCCGATTGGTCTGTAAAAATATGGGTGCTCTTCCCATATGCCCGATGCGCCTAAGGGCGTGTTAAGGGATCTTTACTTTACCTTTTTTTATGCCCAATATGCCTGAAGGCGTGGAAAAGGGTCCTTTACTTTTAATTAGTAGGTGATAATGAGACATTTAATAATTCCACTTTGTTCTATGGAGAGGAGGAAATTTATCCCTGGCGAGCAGGTCTTGCTAGTCAAACTCGCCTTCGCCATGGCCTGTGATTTTCTTGACTCTTTATAGCACAGCCAATCACTATCATTATGAGAGGCCCCAACGAATAATTAGGCTGAAAACTGATAAAAATTAAACAACATGATAAACAGTGTAGGTGTGTGTCAATACATAAACTGTAGCATAATGTCATGTGGTTTTTTTCAAACAAAAGCTCTACCAGGTGAGTAGAAATGGAGTTTCCTGGAACCCACATGAAGAAAACAAGAAGAGTTCATATAAATGTTCAGGTCTGTCTCTTGACTCCATACTAATGTGCAAAACGTTTTGATCAACTCTTCACGCGTACTGGACATATAGTAATAGACCTATATTTTATAGACCAGCCGGTCTATACAGATACAACGGTAACAGACCCGGCGGTCGACCACGCAGAAGAAGGACCACAGAAATATCAGAGACACTGAAAAGTACTATACATGAAGCAAACAGAAGGGCCCGTTACAGAGATCTCTTCCTCCCGTGACGCCATGAGGCATTCCAGGAGCAGAGAAAAGAAGAAGAAGTAGTTAGTACTCGGTGGGAGATATGGTAAACAGCACGTCGGCCATCTTTACCTCTCAGGACTTTACCTGGTACCCACTCAAGGCTGGGTCGACCTGAACCCGTGTCATTTAAACCAAAAAAAAATTTGTGGATCTAAACCTGCAACCATCAGATCATAGGCAAGTGTATAGCCACTACACTACGGCATCTCCCCAACTCTCCTAACTATAAATTTAAGACAGGATATATTTCAACATAATGAATTCAATCTGCAGAGAAATAACTGTCAGACCTAAATTATTCTCCTTGGTCTCAACCTCCGCCACCATAGCATCCAGAGACACCGGACTGGCCTCCTGGGGGTTGGACAGAGATTCTAGAAACTTCTTGTAGTCAGAATCTATAAAAGAAATACATACAGGCACATTATCAAGGATATCAAACCAAATGGAAAGTAGAACTATTCAGCTTCACATTATAACAATCACAAATAACCGGTAAACGTTGCGGCTAGAAAGCTTTCATCAGCACAGTACAGGGCTATTCAACTAAGCTGGTTTTCTGGGGGGAGCGGGGGTGGTTCAAACAAGTGGAAAATGGGGATCATTGCGGGCCAGATACACGAGCCCCAACTTAGAAAGACTATTAATGAATACAAATGGCATGGAATCTGCAGGCCACTAGTTAGACCTCTGTGGGCCAGATTTGGCCCTCAGGCGGCCAGTTGAATAGCCCAGGCACAGTACATAATGGACATAAAATCACTTAACTGAGGTATCTACGAGAGAAATCCACAGGTCTGTTTGGCCAGTTGAAGCTCTGACAAATGTGTGAACACAGGAAATGAATACTAGCCAGAAAAAGCATTCTTCAAAATGCACAATGCAGACAGCATTTACATTTCTTCCTCTGCCTTTTATACTCAAATGGAGAGTAGGCCTTCACCCAACTCACACAAAGTCATTGCATGCAGCTCACCCCACGTGCTCCTCATATTTTAAACTCAACTCTGCAGTTCACTTCTCCATGTGTTTTATTTTTTTTAGCCTGCCTTTATTTCAATACCCCTGTGGGTTCCAGTGTAAAGCCCTTCTAGTTATACTATTCCCAGGTTTTCTCAATGTGTGTCTTATCCAATGCCAGCATCTTTTCTTCACCTCTTGATTCACTGGAATCTGCTTAGTTCTCTCAACAGCTTAACATTAGTGACTTTATCACAGCATTTATATCCCCCTATTCCGTGCAAGCACCAGTTAATGAACGTTTCTAGTTTATTAAAACATGTAATAAATTCAGCTGACATTTACATATTGTTTAAACCAATGTTCTATAACCTAGGGGTCACAAGGTTTCAGGGGGACGTCGTCAAGCAATTTTGAAACTGAGTGCATTTGTATTTCTAATAATGCATTATATTATTTTAAATATAAATAAAATGATCAAATATTTTTAAAAATTATTTATAAAACAAAAAGAGGAATTTTGTTCAAAAGCAGTTTGCATATCTATGGTAAAAAATCTAATTAATATAATACAGGCATTTATTTATAGATTAAGAATATATTTTGACCAAAATGTATTTCCATACTGTCTGTTTCCCTTGTTGTGAAATCTACTGACCTCCTCTTTTTAATCAAATTTTGTTATGTTGGGGGAGGGGGGGGAGGGGAGAGATCCTGCCATATACTCAAGGAGGCCCTAGAGGTCTCACCATAAACTCAAGGGTGGCACAGGGTCTCGACAATATATTTAAAGTGGCGTGTGTGACCTGAAAGAAGGCTGGAGACAACTGGTTTAAACAACACAAGAGGCAGCCTCTGAAAGCAATGGGATAAGGGGAATCAAGAAAGCAATGAATACTAACTTGTAATCCCCTCCCATCGGCATCTGAGGTTTAGGCGTTGCGATCGTGCTTCGTAATGCCGAGCTTGATCCCAGCCGCAGGGCTTGCGCCTTGTGCTGGTTTCAACAGTGGTATAGAGAAGCCGAGCATCCAAAAAGCAATGGGAAACTACAGGACGTAAATTTGCCTAGAAAAACCACAACAGCTAAAAATGCTGGGATTGGTTCTGCAACGTCCTGTAAAGGATTCGCAACTAACTGTTAATCTCCTCCCACAAAGGCTGTGGTTAAAAAGTTTTGTATTTACTGTACTTGGAAATGAATACAATTGAAACTGGAGTGAAGAAGTCCTCAGGAACAACAACACCATCACAGAACTTACCCTGTTCAATAAGACCAATTTTGGTGTCCAGTTTCTTTGTCTTCTTCTTTGGAACTTTCTGGAAAGGTGCAAATTCAACAATGGCTGGATATTCTCCACCTAAGCCAGAGAAGCAATAAAATCATGAGCATTTGAAAATGTTTTTTTATGTAACTGCAAATCTGACATTGGTCAATGGGGACAAAAATAAACTTTGTAGGTATTGTGCTAAAAAAATAAGAAAGAAAATAAAACGATGAAGTGAATGACAATAAAAGAGAATACCCATATAATCCTCTTCATCAGCGGAAAGTTCTGGTTGTTCATCCACTTCTGGACTACAGTCTTATTCCAGAACTTGAGTTTTGAGTGCACATCAGCTTTACAGATATGGCTTAATTGTCTGCAGGCTGTTGGTTCCTTGTCTTTAGGTATTCATGAGTGCTGATGCATGTATGTGTATGCATGAGTGGTGGTGCATGTATGTGTATGCATGAGTGGTGGTGCATTTATGTGTATGCATGAGTGGTGGTACTTGTATGTGTATGCATGACTGCTGGTGCATGTATGTGTATGCATGAGTGGTGGTGCATTTATGTGTATGCATGACTGCTGGTGCATGTATGTGTATGCATGAGTGGTGGTGCATTTATGTGTATGCATGAGTGGTGGTGCATGTATGTGTATGCAGGAGTGGTGGTGCATTTATGTGTATGCATGAGTGGTGGTGCATGTATGTGTATGCATGAGTGCTGGTGTATGTATGTGTATGTCAGAGTGGTGGGGCATGTATGTGTATGCATGAGCATGGGTGCATGTATGTTTATGTATGAGTCAGTGTGTATGCATATATATGTAGGAGTTTGTGTATTATGTGTAAGTATGAGTATGTGCATCCATGTAGGCTAGAGTACGTGTTTATGTGTATGTCTGAGTTTGTATGATTGTGTATATATGAATGTGTGTGTATGTATGTCTACGACCATATGTATGGGTATGTATGAGAGTGTATGTATGGGTATGAATGAGCATGTGTGTGTGTGTGTGTGGGTAAGTATGCATGTGTGAGTATGTGTGAGTGGTGTATGTGTGTGTGTGCATGCATTTACCATCCATGCTTTTGTGTTTCTTAGCTGACATTCATTATGTTCACTTTTCAATTAAAAAAAATGCTTTATAGATAAAATACTATTGCGCTCTGAATGATGAGTGTTTGGAAGGGCTGAAGATAAGATGGGCCTGCGTGCCCAATTTGTGACCCTCTGAAAATGTTTTTTTTCCACCGAAAGCTGCTATCTGCAAGTTTGACACCCTGAGATTAAAGAGTCTCCATACGGATGGCAGACCAACAAGGCAAATCCTAAATACTCCATTCAACCTCAAGAAAAAGTTATAATTCGGGCATCTGCAATGGCTTCATCAGCCTGGCATGTTTCTTCTTTTCTGTTTACCGGCTGTAGGCTCTGGCGGAAAGTCATGGTTGTTTGTCCGTTTGGACTTTAGCTCTGTGCCACAGCCTGAGTTTTGCATGTACGTCCATTTTACTGGCTTATTTGTGTGCATTTGGTTAGTTCTTTGCCACCTGGGCAGATGTAGTCCAACTTCGCAGGAAGTCCCAAATTAGTCGACTCCTATGACATGCTGGTTGGGGAGGCAGTGGGTCTATACTTGTTTTCCCCTACAAGGGGGCCCCGGAACCCACAAGGGGAAATCAGCCTGGTATAACCTGCCGTCCTGTGTGTGTAAGGAGGCACATGTCCTGCTCAAACATAAGAAATATGAAGTAAATGATATTTTTTTAAGGCCTACATCAAACATGAATGGTACAGCCATGGAAATATGCACACATACATATATTTATAACAAAAAATGTCACAAATACCTTTTGCATCAAGAAAAACATATCCATCAAACTTATCCCTGAATATAAAGATATCTTCTGGGCTCAGAAAGTTGACATAAGCTCTTGTGAATGCATTTTGACCGAGACTGAAAAACAAAATATTTTCAATGAGTTGCATAAACGACAGGGTAAGAAAATGTTTATTCTAGATATTTTATGATTGTAACACTTTGGGGCAAGAGGAGGGATGAACAAGTAGACTGGCTTGCTGACAGGGCCATAGTAGGCACAGGAAAAGCAATGGACAGGGTCGATGTTCTCAATGCTCTCAGGGAGGCAGGATCAGTAGACAATTCAGGAGGTGATAGTGAATCGGCAACCGTGACACGACCACAAAAACTTCATGCCGAAAGAGGTGTTGCCAAACATGAACATTATTTAAAGAGCCAAACAAGAATAGAAAACCAGTACAAAAATGGTGTTATCGGTCAGAATGCCTTGAGGAAGATGGGATCAGAGTGCTTATGGACTTGTCAGATGTGCGATGAGGATGATCAGTCAATTAGCTATGTGATAATCATAGTTTCATACTTGTGTAGGAAAATATTTGTATTTAAGATGTCCAGACCACTATACTAACTGTCCCCATATGTGCCAACTTACTGTACTTAGGTTGTCCAGACCACACTATTTGCTGCCTCATTACATTTGCAATAATGTACATAAGTTGTCCAAATCATTAGTTACTGTCCCATTTTGTGACAGCTTACGGTTTAAGTTGTCCAGACAGCTTCATATATTGTCCCATTTTGTGTCAACATACTGTATATATGTTGTCTATACCACCATATTTATCGTCCCATTAAATGTTAGCTGAATGTATTTTTCAGATATTCAGACCACAATACTTGTCCTCTTATGAATTGAGTGCACTGTGTGGTCTTTGTAAAGTCTGATGCTCTGATGTTCCCACCTTGCATTCTATTTCTACTAAAACTCTTCATCCTAACATCATGAGCCTGTTAGACTGAAGCTTAGATGACAAATTTTCTTCTTTCTGTTCACCGTCTGTTAACTCTGGTGGAAAGTTCTGGCTGTCTGTCTACTTCTGGACTTTAGTCTTGTTCCAGAACTTGAGTGTTACATGCACCTCCATTTTACAAATCTGGCTTATCTGTATGCAGACTACTGCTTCCTGGTCTTTCAGGAAGACTTCTCATTAGTCGATTCTGACCACACGCTCATCAGGAAGGCAGTGGGTCTCTTCTGTCTTCCCCATAATGAGGCCACAGAACCCACATAGGGAGATTACAGCTTTTAAAACCATGTCTTAGTTTCCGTATATTTTGTTTGTGCTGTCTACAGCGAGAGTGTGAATACCTCATGTCAGCACGGACGAAGTAGAAGAAATCATAGTCAGGTAGTGGAGACACCTGCTCCAAGAACTCCTCTGGGGTCAGGGTTGGTGGTAAGCGTCTGATCACAACCTGGAGGATGTTACACAAACAGAGCATGGGTAAATGCAAAACACTTGTTACACACACAGAGCATGGCAAAAAAATAAACACCTGTTACGCAAAGAGAGCACAGGTAAATATAAACACAAATACTTGTAGTTAAACTGAGCATGGATAAATACAAACACTTGTTACACAAACAGAATACAAGAAAAAAAATCATGCCTGGCATCTATAGGAATAAAATAAGGTAAACAAAGGGCCACCGGCAACTATGAACCCTTTTAACTACAGTGAAAAGGCGAAAAATGCAATGGTATGGACATGTAATAAGATCTAACGGCCTTTCAAAAACAATACTGCAGGGCTCAGTAAAGGAAAAGAGGGGAAGAAGCAGACAGACAAGGAAGACCTGGTTAAAGAACCTGACTGACTGGACAGGCCTCAGGCATGCAACTATGAAGTCCACCACCAAAGGTGGAGAGAGCTGATCAGACAGTCAACAGAAACTGGTGACCCAACGACACACAGTGTTACAAAATAAAGGTCCCTTTTCATGCCTTTAGCACATCTGGCAAATACATTGCCAGACCTGTATTTTTATAGACCAACTGTCACTCTGTGGGTGATGTAGTCAACATCACACCAGCTGATTTTACTTCCGAGGATATAACCTCTACCCATTTTAGGTTGGGTTGGTCTGAGAGCCAAGGTCTGAATGATGGAATCATGAACTAATATCAATGTACTCAGGACATTTCCAAACGTTTTTTATCTCCTTCCTCAGTAGCCAATGAAGAGTTGACATGCTTATCCACCCTACATTCAAGGGGAGCGCTTCCTGTGAGGGTTTTGGGGCGCCAATGTGGGGGAGGGGGGAGTACAGGCTCACTGCCCCCAACAAGCATATCGTGAGAGTTGACTAATTAGAGATGTTTTCTGTGAAATTTGAATGCATCTACCTGAGAGGTGAGGAACCAACAGTCTGCATACAAATAAACCAGATCTGTAAAATGTTAAATGAATGTACACACAAAATGGCACTGCGAGGAGTTGCCAGGGGATCTGGCGGATGCTCAACACACAAGGAAAAGGCGAGATGAATATACAATCAGACAGTTACTGATGCCATCCAAAATTGGTACTCTTCATTTTTTGCTGAAGATAGGGACAGAGCGCTTATGGAAGTGTCCCGATTGCTAGGATGACGACTCTTAATTCAACAATCAACATTCAAAATGCAAAACTCAGTTTCTGGAACAAGACCTAAGTCCAGAAGTGAATGCACAACCAGAACTTTCTGCCAGAGTTTACAGCCGATGCAAGTGAAGAAGAAGGGGGCAGGAGGCATCATCTGAAAAAGGCTGAAAACCACTGGTCTAACATAAGCTAATGCGACCGCTGACTGCAATAGAACAGAAGAGAGTCAGACAAAATTTACTAATTTTGGACTAACCACTGAACTGATATTGAGCTGCAAGATTGGTTGGCACCTTTCTATTTGTACAGACCTTCTTCTTCTTAAAGTTCATGCCGTGTGGCATTGGTAGTCATGTATATCCACAACCTTCTGTCTTGTGTACTTTCAATCAACTCTGACACAGATGATCATCCATGCCATGATGTCTGTCCAGTATCTTTTCTCTCGGTCTCCCTCTGCCTCTCCTCCCCTCCTACTTTCCTACTGTCCCGATGTACTCCAGTTTTCCTCCTTCTCATCACATGACCAAAGAATGTAGACTGTCTCTTTCTGATGTGGGCAATCAGTTATCTTTGTGGGACAGTTTCTTCCAAGACATCCTCATTACTCTTTTTATTTGTCCAGGATATTCTCAACATTCATCTGAAAACTACATCTCTGCAGCTACCAAATAATTGTTCACTAATCTACCAACTTCCATGATTCACTTCCATATATCAGGATAGGATTTACATATCTTTTAAGAATTCTCTTTCTCGTTTCAATCGACAAAGAAAGATTGCATAAAATATTCTTCATTTTGTAAAATACTGCTCTGTCCAGATGATAGTGCTATAGGAAGGGATGTAAATCACAGCCTATGGCAATCACACGCTCGCGTTTGGATAAACCGTCCATAGTGCAAAGCCTTTACAGTATTGTACACTCACTGTTACTACTGTCTGTAGGTACCACTTTTTAGGGCGGTGTAGACAGGGGGCAGTAAACCTGAGGATTTTGGGCAGCACAGCTAGTGCTGTCACCATGGACTGTACAGGTTAGGATGTTTAATTTTGCCCTTGACAGAAAAACTCCATCACCTTTCCGAGGATCGAACCCGGGTCTACCGCATGAGAGTCCAACGTTGAAACTGCTTGGCCAGCTGCTCCGTGTTGTAAAGTGTATTCAAATTCACATCAAAATAAATATTTCAGTATGACCTGGGCTCCCTGGTAGACCAAGTCTAAAAAAAAGTGCCTGGAAATGTTCTAGAATGTAAAAGCAGCTAATAATGTACCGACCCTATGAAGCACCAAGTGCCAGTTATTATTATTTTATTCTGATGTTCTGATGTACACCCCATTAGGCAGGCAAGCAATCCTTCCCTTCCAATCTTGTAAACATCTAGGCCAGCACCTTTGATCTCTCTCAACATTCACTGAAGGATTTCTCTTGAACCTCCTTGCTCTCACAATCCATTTTTTTCCCATTTCAGTGACTGTTTTGTGATTCCATCTAAGAATGTACCCATTATATCGCTATCTGCTTTATCTTACAGCGGTTAATACCAGCAGCAGTTGAGATATTTCTCTGGGGGTTTTTTCACCATCTTTCTCAAACTGATCACATTTAATGGTCATAAATTTCTTGTGGCTTTTGTTTTAAAATATGGGACAACATCTTCTATCCCAGTTGTTACCTTACTTCACTATGTATTATTGGTACCTTCAATTCTGTTATCTCACTGGAATATTACTACAAGCCCAAAGCGTGTAATCTTTAAAGGTTTTTCAAAAAATGTGATTGCAGCATGAAAGGCTGATTGATACTCAGTGACTCAAAGAGCCACATTTCAGAGGCAAATCCAAAGAACAAATCCCAGAAAGCACTTACAATTTTATTAAAAAAATTTATATTGGGGTAAACTTAAAAGTAAAATGGCTCAGAAGGAAAGAACAAATTAAGGTCACATTAGTCTTAGAATACTATTTTGACCAACATTGTACCTAACAAGTACCTAACGTGTACACTAACAACGAAAGGAAAAAGAAAGATCAAAACAACAGAATCGAAATGTCTACGACAAATCTCACATTTAACTACAAGAGACAGGGTCAGAAATATGACATCAGAAAAGAAGTTGGGATGGCACCAATACCAAACTACATCAAGAGACAACAGATCAAATGGTTTGGACATGTTTCAAGACCACCAGCATACAGTGCACCACAGAGATCCCTATGACTTAGACATTTTCAACGTTCAACCAGCATCTCCAAAAAAAGAGCTTTAGGTTATAATTGTGACTAGTTTATTTGTGCCACATAAAATAGTTTAGCACTGCAGGCTGGTCGCCGATGGATGTGTACCGGAAACAACTGGGAAATAAAGACGTAGGAGTTCCAAATAATGGCCGACAATGTGATGCTTGTGGGAGTAACCAGGCAAATTTATCAGTCATTAAGGCATACAGATCTGCAGGAGTCACATCCGTGGCAACTAAGAGCACACATATATATATATATATATATATATATATATATAAATATGGATATATTTACATCAACAAAAAAACAACAACCCAGATTTCCCCAAGACGTCAAATAAACACACAGATCTGGGGGAAACACCCAAGAATTGGCAGGCCTGATGTCGACCTCACTGACTTTTCCGCTCCGTATTTGCAATGCAGCCAAGGGAGTGAACTCCTACTAAGCAACCTTTGGCTTTCCAGCTAACGATCGGTATTTAAAGGAGAGCCAAATATTATTAATATATATAGATCAGGCCGCAGGTACCATATCATATATGGGCTCTCCTTGCACCTTTGGACGCAAGCTGGACGGCTTAGGTCGGCTTAGTGAGAGTTCTCTCCCTTGGTCGCATTCAAAACAACGAGCGGAAAAGTCACGAATCAAATGACATACTTACCTATCAACATCCGGGTGCGTGTAGGGTTGCGTAGTCATCATACGGTTGCGTCTAGGGTTCCCTATCATCATACGGTTGCGTCTAGGGTTCCCTATCATCATACGTTTGCTTGTAGGGCTGCGTAGTGTGTCTATCATCATTATACGGTTGCGTGTTGGGTTGCGTAGGGTGTGGGTTGGGGTTAGGGGTAGGGTTAGGGGTTAGGGTTAGGGGTAGGGTGACGTAGAACTTCCAAATACTGGGCGAAAATCTGATACTTGTGGGAGTGGCGCCACTGAAAGTGTGCCAAACATGACAGCAATAGCGCGTGGCTGGTGCCCAGTCGGTGGCGAATTGTCCGTGTCAGTAGCATCCACCGTCCGTCGACTGTTAGGGTGTGTATGTGACTGTGTGCGATTATAGGGAGCTACGGCGTCAAAATTGTCACATCTAATGCTAAACCTAACCCTAACCTTACCCCTAACCCTAACTCTACCCCTAACCCTAACTGTAACCCTAACGCTAACCCTAACCCTACCCCCAATCCTACCGTTAACCCTAACCCTAACCCCAATCCTACCGTTAACCCTAACCCTACCCCTAACCACGCAAAATTATTGGTCATTAAAGCATACAGATCGGCAAAACACCACACACAAAAAACCCAGATTTCCCTGCAGTGTCAAAAGAAAAACCCAGATCTGGGGGACACAACCAAGCATTGGCTGATGTCGACCTCCCTGTCTTGTTTGATTCGTGAATTTTTCCGCTGCTTGTTTTCAATGCGGCCAAGGGAAAGAACTCCCACTAAGCCGACCTAAGCGGTCCAGCTTGCGTCCAAAGGTGCAAGGAGAGCCCATATATGATAGCATGAAAAGGGTCGTTTATTTTCTGACCTCTAGTTTACCTACCAACTACTTCAACTAGTGTTTACCTTCGT